CACACTACCACCCAATCTTGCCAGTTTCTTAGTGAAGATGCCCCTCTGCCATGGGGGAGGGGCAGGGCGGGGCAGGGGCTCCCTCTGCCACAGGCCTGGCCACCAACAGAGCAGAGCGTGTGGTGGTCGGCTGGGCCTCAAGCCCCCACTGCCCCAATGTGGGGTGGCTGTTGAGATACAAGCAGCCCCTCTCCCTGCCAGGACCCGTTTGATGCGGCCGGGTACTACCAGCTGGCGCTGGCGGCGGCCGTGGACCTGGGCAACAAGCGCGCCCAGCTGAAGATCTACACGCGCCTGGCCACCATCTACCACAGCTTCCTGCTGGACCGCGAGCAGTCCCTAGTTTTCTACCGAAAAGCCAGGACCTTCGCCTCGGAGCTCCAGGGCCGCCGCGCCCCCCTGGCCCCGCCCCCTTCCGCCCTCGCCTGCGCCCGGTCTGTCCCCGCCCCTAGCCTCCGCCCAGAACGCCCCAGAGCCTACTGGCTCCGCCCCCGACCAGCGCTGCCAGCACCTGGCCTGGCCCCACCCCCGGCCACGCCCTGAACACCTCAGGGCTGGGGTCAGGACCGGAGTGGACACTGCAGGGTGGGGACATCTCCCAGTGCACCCCCGTTTTCGGGAAACTGAGGCACCGAGGGGGTGCCAATAGCAATAAAGGCTTCTCAGCACTATTGGTTGGGTTCTCAGGGTACATCAGGGACCCAGGCCCCTTCCTCTGGGACCCTGACTACTGCCCCCATCCCTGGGTACCAATGAGAAAGACGTGAGTCCATCAGACCCAGGCGCCCCTCCCTCGTCCCGCTGGCGCCTCAGAGGGCAGCCTAGGCCAGCAGTCTTGGCCAGTCGGAGGGTGATGGTCTGGAAGCGTCCTCCGTGGGGCTTGGAACAGGTCTGACTGCCTGGCCTTCTCAGGGTGAAGGGGGCACAGAGAGGGTAGGGGCTTGCCTGAGTCACACAGCAGTTAGAGGCAGGGCTTCAGCACCGGGAGGGAGGGAGACGGACACCCCCGGGGGCCCCATAGTTTTCAGAACAGCAACATGAGGCCCTCCCTCATGGCCTTGAGTGCCCCTGTGTGGTCCTCCGGCCAGCCCCACATCTGCCCCATGGGGGTCCACCCCGAGTGTGGAGACCGTTGGTAACCTCTCCCTCTCTCCTTGGCCCCCTCTAACCTCCTGCAGGGGAAGCTCAGCCCCAGACTCAACAGGTGGGGAGCCCGAGGCTCAGAGAGTTGTGTACCCCAGGGGAGTCACACCCCACTGTCCCGGCCGTCTCTGTTAAGTCGGGGCTTTTGGTTTGGGGTTTTGGTGAAAATGAACACTAACCCATGGCCACTCAGTGGTGTTCAGTCCAAGCTCACGGGAGGGGCGGCCTCATCTTCCTCCCGGGGAGCAGCTGCGGACTTGAACCGCTGACCTTCAGTTAGCAGCCCAGAGGAGTTGGAGCTCACATCAAATTAACCATGAACTCCCGGGTGGCACCACACTACCTCGTCCCAGAGAAGCCCCCACCCCGTCCTTGTCACCCCTCACTGAACAGATCTGGAAATTGAGGCAGGTGCTGGCGGGTCCTGGAGTCCCGGCTGCCACCTGAGGAGACGTGGTGGAGCTAGGCCAGCGGAGAAGAGGAGGTGGGGGTCGCCATCCTTCCTCCTCCAGCTCTGGTCCTGAGCCTCCCGCCGCCCTTCCCACATCTGCCCGCCAGGCGCAGCAGAGAGCCTCCGCCAAACCACCGGCCCTCGGATCGCCCTCTCTTCGGGTGGAGGTGGGGCTCTGGGACGAGGCCGGCCTGTGATTGGTGAAGAGTAAGGACCGCCCCCTGGCCCTCCCCACCCCCGCCGTGGTGGCTCCGGCGCCGCAGACACGCACTGGAGGGCCTCCCTGGCCAGGCCACCTGCCCAGAGGGACGGCCTTGGGGATCTGTTCCCCCTGTCCTTCCTTCCCTGCCCTGGACGCTCACCCCACCGCCCACCACGGCCTCCTGCGCACTAGCCTCTGCATGGCTGGGCCCAAGGCGAGGACACAGTAGCTACGCCCTCTCACCCACCCCCAAATTCAGACCCAGCCCCACCACACAACAAGGATCTCAGGAGGACAAGAACATCCATTTCTCTGAGCCCGTTTTGTGTCAGTCAGGCCGACCCTGGTCCCGCTGTGGCCCCCAGTAAAGCAGAGGATAGGACACAGGGCCAGGGCCACTCAGCCGGGGGCTCTGGAGCCCCAGACCAAAGGAGCAGTCACTCTGGTCAACACGGTCATCTCAGACCCTCTGACTCTTCGTCTGGGGCCCACAGCCAAGCGCACCTGCGAGTGCTGACCATGCCTGAAGAGCGAGCCTGAGAAAATGCTAGATCCCGGGGTCAGGGTGCACACCCAGGCTGGGTGGGGGGGTGGGGGAAGGGCAGAGTGGGTGCGCAGGAGGCTGGGCTCGGCCACTCACTGGGCTTGGCAGAAGCCCTGAGCCCACATGGCACCCCCAGCCAGAGACATCCTCCCCCTATTGCTGCCAGACCAGCACCCACACGTGAAGGCCTCCTAGGTGCGAGGGCAGTGCTGTGACCCGTCTTTCAAGGACTGGTTTTCATGAGCTCCCCAGGCCTTTCCTCCTGAGAGTGGTCTCTTAAGCCAAGCTAATCCCAAGGAATTGGAGATTAATGATTCCCCACTTCCCAACTCTTCCACCCGGCTTCTCTGCTCCATTGCCACCCCTTCCTCCCTAAAGGATGAGGGGGCAGTGATAAAGAGGGAGCCTCAGCACAGGGCTCAGGCAGAGGGACCGTTAATGAGGACGGCGCAGGACCGGGCAGTGTTTCCTTCTCTTGTGCACGGGGCGGCTATAGGTCAGAACCCACTCCAGGCCGCTAACCACACCCCTCCCCAGGACGTTCCTGTGATTCCGGGCCATGTCCCGCAGAAACTCGCCAACCCTGAGGGAAGGCTTCAGGGTGGTGGCTGCTGTTAGGACCCAAGCCCGAGGGCCAGGCGGGCAAAAGGTGGGCCAAAGGCCGGTGCAGAGCGGAAAGCCACACACGACCAAGCCTACAGAGGGTCTTCTCGTCTCCCCCGAAGCTCACTCAGGAAAATGGCGGTCTGGCTTTGCAAGGGAGGCGGTAAAGGCCATGCCACATCCAAGGAAACAGAGGGGCCTGGCCCTCGGGGTCCTGAAGCTCTCGCCCAGGAGCGGAGACAGCGTGACCAATTCACGTCCTCCATCAAACACAAGAACCCACTGCCACTCACACCGCCCTCGAGTGGATTCGAACTCTCAGTGGCCCTAAAAGCCAGGTTAGACCTGTCCCTGCGGGCTTCTGAGAATGTAACTCTCAACAGGAGTAGAAAGCTCTGCCCTCAGAGTGGCTGGTGGTGTCAAACTGGTGACCTTGCAGTTGGCAGCCCAGCGGTGGCCTGCAATGCCACCAGGGCAAAACTGAACCCACTGCTCTGAGCAGCAACTGTGAGTTAGGGATGCAATTGTGCAGTGTACATTTCAGACGCGCTTTTTAAGCATGAGTCTAACAGAGTCTGTCTGTGTTCCAGAAGAGGAAAGACCACCAGGGAGGAGGCCACGGTACCCACATTCACCCAGAGCCTCACGGATGGCGAGCCCACCCACGAAAAAACAGAACAAAATAAGGAAGACTCCTCCCAGAGTCCGGAGGAGCGTCCAGGCTTAGAGGAGCTGGGAAGAAAGGCCTGGTGGCCCACTTCTGAAAGCCTTGTGGACCCCCCAGTCCATGCCACCGCTGACGGCCGGGCTGGCCCAGGACCCAGCACACTTGGTTTTCCTGTGGGCGAGGTCAATTGTGGGAGGCAAAAGGGTTCTGCCCCAGGTTGAATCCCCCAAATACATGCCAAACCTAAGACACTGCTTGCTACACTTGGTACATGACGTACACTTGGAGGTCAACGCAAGCCGCTTAGAGGTTATTCTCCCAGAGGCTTGTCAGCCAGCGAGAGCAATCAGAGTGTCCAGTCTGTCCCACCCTGAGTAGGGCCACTCCCTTCTGATAAGGGTAGTGGACGGTCTCCTAGAGTGGTGGTTCTCCACCTGTGGTCTCAACCCTTTCGGGGGGTCGAATGACCCTTTCACAAGGGCTGCCTGAGACCATCAGAAGATACATATTTCCGATGGTTTTAGGAACCGAGACACTGCTCCTCTATGGGAAACAGAAGGATTTCCCCCAAGTTGTCTCCTCCAAATGTATGCCAGACTTAGCTGCTTGAGAATGACTACACTTGGAGGTCATCAGGAGTGGATTGGGGGGGTCATTCTCCCTAAGAGCTATCAGCCATCAAGAGCAAGCAGACACCACTGTTCATCCCACAACAAGTAGGGCCCACTCCCTTCTGATAAGGATAGTAGTTGTCTGTTTCCTTGTAGGAGACCCCAGAGAGGTCAAACCCGCCCGAGGATGACCAACGTTAGCTGCCATCATGAATCTAGGGTCTGTCCATCTTGTCACATGTGTACCCCTAGACCTTCCCATTGTTATGGGCACACCCCTAGCTCATCCCTTTCCTGTCATGCTTATGCCTACCATACATCCCTTCCTAAGATGTGTATGCCTATTGGACTGCCCCTTCCTGTGATGGGTGATTCTGTAATCGTGTCCCCCTAAAAAGAGATAACGCTTGGTTAGCAATAAAGAAGAAAGCTCTCCCCAGTCCTGGCTTCCCAGGGCTCTCCCTGGCTCCCGGGCCCATGAATCTCTCCCTGGTTCTCGGTCCCGAGGCTGTCTCCTGCTCTCTCACCCGGGCTCCCCCCATGAGGACCACCAAGCAGGGCTGAGGTGAGCTTGCTACCATGAATTGTGTCTGACTCCATTACTCCAATCTCTCCTCTACCTCTCATGCTCTCTGTGACTTTACTATCATCTGTACTTGTTATCGCTGTGCAATTGCGCCTACCGGACCTGTGATGATTTGTGGGGACCTCCCTCCCTCCCTCTCCCCACACTCCTCTATCTGTCTCCAGGCAGGTCTGCCCACATGCAGATATGCCCACAGACAAGTACCTGGCCTGAAGACTGTTACCCATGCTACACCATGCTTCAAGACAAAATTTCATTTATTTGTCATTAGAAATAAATATTTCACAATACATAGGGCATATTGTTTCTGTGATTAATCACTATGCTGTCATTATGTTCAACTGGTAACAATGAAAATACATCCTGCATATCAGATATTTACATGACGATTCATAACAGTAGCAGAATGACAGTGATGAAGTAGCAACGAAAAAAATTTTATGGTTGGGGGTCCCCACCACATGAGGAACTGTATTAAAGAGTTGTGGCATTAGGAAGGGTTAGAACCAATGACCTAGAGGCAAGGTCGAGCCCACTCAAGGATGACCAAGGTTAGGCTGCCATCTTGAGTCTAGGGTCCACCATCCTGTCACGTGTCCCCCTAATCCTTCCCCTTTCTATTGTGTGTACACCCCTAGATTGTCCCCCTTCCATTGCTTGCTTGTATTGCCTTTGGTACAGCCCCTTCCTGTTGTGTATGTGGTCACCTGTAATTAGGGGGCTTACACGTTCCCTAAGGACATATAAACCTCAGTTAGAAATAACCCCTCACCTCCTCTCTTCTGCACCTCCACGTGGACCACCAAGAGGGGCTGAGGTGAGCTTGCTGTCATGAAATGTGTCTGACTGCTTCATTTCATCTTC